TCTCTCAAACCTACTCAGTCCCTTTGTCCTGATGGTGTTCCTGCTGTTATCCTTAAGAAGTGTGCCGACATCTTGTGTTCCCCATTAACTGACATTTTCAACGAATCGTTTTCCAAAAGTATTATACCTGACTCATGGAAAAATATCAAGATTGTTCCAGCGCCTAAATCTACAAGTGGACCTAATGTTAAGTTTAGACCCATTGCTATTACCTCCCCTTTTCTGAAAGTTATGGAAAGACTTATTTTACTTAATCTTGAAACCTCTTTAAAGCCTTTCAACGACCCCAACCAGTTTGCTTATAAACATAGTAGGTGTACGTTAGATGCCGCTGTTGTCCTACACCATAGCATAGTCTCTAGTTTAGATAAAGGAGCTAAATACGTTCGCTGTGCCTTCCTTGATTACAAATCTGCATTTGACTCTGTTCCTAGGTCTCTCTTGATAAGTAAGCTTGCTGCAACACAGGCTGAGAGCTGGACAAATAAGTGGCTGCATTCCTATTTTTCTGATAGGAAGCAGTACACCGTCTACAATGGAAAGTCCTCCACTACCTCACTTACTTTAGCTGGTGTTCCTCAAGGTGCTGTTCTTTCTCCTTTTCTGTTTTCGTTTTTCTTACATGACTTGCCTCATTCTGATGTAGCCACTTTTGTTAAGTATGCCGATGACCTCTCTGTTTCTATGCCTGTCAACTCTCAGTCAGATTGTTCCAAATTAAATAACTTTCTGTCGGAAATTAGTCAGTGGTCCTCTTCAAACGGACTTAAGCTGAATCCGTCTAAATGTCAGGTAGTCAATTTCACTTTCAGACGTAAACGTGACCTACAACAACTAGTTAGCTCACATGGCCCCACTATCATTGACGGCACAGAGGTTGAAAATACATCTGATGTCAAGTACCTTGGGCTGAGTTTTTCCACCGATCTTTCCTGGTCCTCCCACATCTTGCTAGTTACTAGAAAGATGTTTCGCTTAACGTTCTACGTTAGGAAATTTAGGCAGTCTGGCATAAAGCAGTCTTTGCTTTCTCAGTTTGTCAATTCTTGTATTCTACCCACCCCCTTTACTGCTCCCCATTGATCTTTCCTGGACTACTTAAGAAAGACTTTGCTTTGCTGAGAAGGGCACTAAAAGCCGTTAGTAGGGCAAGTGGGATATCGTTAAACCAACTGGTTAACACTATTGTGGATAGACATAGGTCATGTAAGAAACTAGAGAACACAATATTGTCAGACCCCAAGCATCCTATCTATACACAGCTCTCTCCTTGAATTTCATCTGGTAGAACTAGAAGCAGCTATAGGAGGCTATATCCCAGGACTACCAAGTACAAAAACTCTAAAACACCATATCTGGCACAGCTGTTATGTGATGAGAAATCAGTTAGGTATGACACGATCAACTTACTGCGGCACTCTAACAAATAGTCTCACCAGTTTTTGTTTTCCTTTCCTCGTTACTATTACACTGTTGTTCTCATCTTCTATTACATACACTAATTTTATACTTCATATCTTGTGGTGCACTGTCTAAAATGTAAACGCAACACTGTTCTTTCTATTTATTTCTTTTATTTATCTTTTTTTGGGTGTTGCTTTTTGATTTTAGAATCTTATAAAATTTATGAGGTAATTAGATGCAATATATTGTAATGCACGCTAAAAGTTCCACACCTGTTCCACAAATACTGTCTGGAATAATGCTGTTATTATTATTATTATTACATGCAATGTACCTGCGACTCATTGAACTGCTAGGCTCAATATGGTGTCATTTCTCCATCGGCCACACCAAGCATTTACTCGGTGGCATCTGCTGATCACTCACCTGTGGAGCAGAGTACAACCAACTACTGCTCAGCGCCACCACAGGGATACGAGACTCGGGTTATGCCCAAATCAGCCTAGCTGGGGATTTTAACTCCCTATTCCGGAACCTTGTCTCGGGTTATGTTCAGTGGAAATTCGGTAGAAATCTACTGCAGACCATGCCAAATACAGGACTGATTGAAAATGTTGGAAATGATACTAGGTGGGGCCCTGGTGAAAAGTCATCGAAACTGAGCTGTGTTCTACCCAGTGACCAACTACTTGTCGAAAAAGTCCAGATCATGAGTCCACTAGGAAGTAGTGACGATGAGGTCATGGAATTCGATGTTGTTCTCCTGGAGCACTTCCAGTGGGACAATACGTGGCTACGTCACTAGTCTAGAGTCATTTTTGCCGAACAGTTAAACAGCAGTACGGTTTTTCTGGTACCGACCAAAATGGTGGCACAAAACGCAGTGTCTTCTCCCCGAAAAAACCCGACAATAGTCCTGGGGAAGCAAAAGAGACTCACATCTGGAAAGTCCCCAGGTTGTGGTGACATCAGGCCATCTGTTCTGAAACAGTGCGCAGAAGCTCTCTGTAGGCCCTTCTGCGACTTGTTCCAACACTCGATGGATTCGGGGAAACTGCAAAGGGAGTGGAAAAGACTAATCCTTTCTCCTATCTTCATTGGTGGGGATAGGCAAAATGCCAGCAGTTATAGACCAGTAGCCATACTCCCAGTAGTACTAAAAGTACTAGAAAGTATAACTGATGATCACATCAGGGAGCACCTCGATAGGACTGATAGACTCCATGAAGCCCAAGAGGAAAGGCAGATCATATGTAACAAACCTACCATCAGCATGGGACGACTGGACATCATGCTGGGATATGAATGTTCCAGTCCGAGTGGTCTTCCTAAACCTTGAGAAGGCATTCGACACGCTCCACCATGAACCACTCCTACACAAAATAAGTCAGCAGGTATAGGTAAGCCAATTCCGTCATGGTTGAAGGACAATCTGGCTGAAAGGAAATTTCGCACTAAGGTCAGTCGAGTCCGATTATCTTGAAACAGCTCGTCATCAAGGGTGTCGCAGGGCTTTATCCTAGAGCCACTTATATTTTTGGCGAACGGTTAAGGGAGGACTTGATTACCGCATACAAGATAGCAAATGACCGGAACCACCCAAACAAAGGTATCCTTCCATTAAGTAGGGACGGGCTTTCCTTAGGAAATCCCGAAAGTATAGCCCACCAGAGGGCACAGATTCAAATGCCCTCTCACTTATTTTCACTGAGGGTTTGCAGACCCTGGAACACCTTACCGGCAGATCTAGTCACGGCACCGTCTGTGGACAGCTTCGAACGAAGTCTGAACAGTCATGCAGCAACACAAGGTCTGCTTCCAAACAGCCTACCTTCCCTAAAATCTCACACGCGATTAATCGGCAGACATGTAAACTCTTCGTTTTTCTACCTTACATTTTCTCCTTTCTTACTCTTCTAACTACTCCAGCTACTCCACTTACACTTATTTTATTATTACTGATAATATATACACATATATAAAGATCAACTTCAAATTTAACTAGCTGTCTGCTTTTATGTTTTCATTATTTCTCTGTCTTTTAGTCTGAATATCCTACACTAGTTATGTTGTTATTAGCTCTTCTCTTTTCTTGACGACGCCGAAGGACTAACTGGTGAAAGGGTCAACTCCATGTGCAGTAGCAACACACACCGCAAACTACAAACCATAAATAATTAATTTGAATAAGGCACTAAGAAGACATTTCGCGAGATCATATCATTTCGTAGTTTCTTTACAACCGCTTTACAACTAACATGGTCAACAATGATAAAATAAAGTTCATGAAAATTACTCAGTTAAATAAAAACAAAAGTACATACTAATGACCAATCATATTTAGATAGGTCATGTAGTCTAGGCTAGGCGAAGATTGAAGTCTATTGATTTTTGTACACACAGTCTAAGGTGTATGTGATTAATCCAAAGGGCTTCCATCACCTTCAATAATCTTGAATTAGAGTTATGTGAAATAATTGTGAAACAGTCATTAGTATTGATTTGGTGATCAGACATTAATAAGTGTATTGCAATGGATGATGCTGGATTTCTATTAGGATTAATCACGTTAGGATTTCCGATATGATTTACTAGCCATTTTGGAGCATGTTCTTTTCGACGACATTGGAACATTCTGTTAGTTCTACCTATATAGGTGTCACCGCAGCTGCAGGTGAACTTGTAGATACAGTTTGAAGTAGAGTCCACAGAATTTCGTCCTTTAATCGTAGGAACAGGGATCGAAAATGTTCGGAAAGTGAGAAAAAGAGATGCGGCGTAGAATGTGCGTTTGATGGCTGATCGAAGTCTTTGAGTTGTCAACTGCATAATCTGGTCGCCCTTGAATGGTAGATTAATGAAGATAGCTTTCTTTGGTACAGAAGCTGTCTTTTCCAAGACGAAATTCTGTGGACTCTACTTCAAACTGTATCTACAAGTTCACCTGCAGCTGCGGTGACACCTATATAGGTAGAACTAACAGAATGTTCCAATGTCGTCGAAAAGAACATGCTCCAAAATGGCTAGTAAATCATATCGGAAATCCTAACGCGATTAATCCTAATAGAAATCCAGCATCATCCATTGCAATACACTTATTAATGTCTGATCACCAAATCAATACTAATGACTGTTTCACAATTATTTCACATAACTCTAATTCAAGATTATTGAAGGTGATGGAAGCCCTTTGGATTAATCACATACACCTTAGACTGTGTGTACAAAAATCAATAGACTTCAATCTTCGCCTAGCCTAGACTACATGACCTATCTAAATATGATTGGTCATTAGTATGTACTTTTGTTTTTATTTAACTGAGTAATTTTCATGAACTTTATTTTATCATTGTTAACCATAAATAATTAATCCCAAGACCATTCCTTGGAAGTTAACCAGAGCTAAGACAGTCGAGTGGAGGGGAGAACTATGCAGAAGTTTTCCGAAGACCAGGAAACTTTACCTAGCAAAGTTTAAGAAGCGAGTACAAAGAAATCAAACTGGTCTTCATTAGCTCGTCGAAACGACTTTGGATATTGAACACTTGAAATTTCCTTTTCGGTTGAAAGTATTTTTGCGCGAGATTCCGTTGAGAATGTATGCAGGCTTACATTATGAGTGAGTGTCCTCTTCAGTATGTGACGATTTTTGTTATCATAGGTACTTGGCGCAAAAATTATGTCAGCTGGCAAAAGAGAAACAAATTCTGACGGAAGAAAATGTTAAACTACGGTCTCATTTTGAATCAGCTGAAAAAACATATAAGGAGTTATCCTCAGAGCTGGCAAAAACTCGTCAAAAACTAAACAAGTACAGACACTAATTTTTATTATTTATACTGATTGACTTATTTAAATATTTTTTTCTCCCATAATAGGCACAGCTCTATATATTCGCAAATGGTTAAACAGAAATGTAAAGGTATTTTAACAAATGATCATAGTGATTAGCTTCAGAAAACGTTTATACGATAATTTGACAAGCATGATGAACAATATCATCATGAAAGTCAGATGGTGAAATTGAGCTATTCACATGTGAATAGCTTCTACTTCTGTTACAACCAGTGAGGTCTTAACGTGACTTCTCCCTACTTTTTTGAATTACAGAACTGTCTATCTGTTAGTTTGTATTTTAGGAAGCTACATATATGTTTACCTCGAGATTTAGTGTAAGAACATCTGACACCTGATTTTCGTCACCGTACTATTACTCTTTAACATACAGAACGTGTACATGGTTCCGTATATAGAGGAAATGCAAATCGTACTTTTCAGATGCCTGATGATTTGACTCTATAATGAAACCTTTTACATATGGTATAGTTCAGCCTGGTATGTCCGAACAAAATAGAGCTAAAGGTCTTTGAAATGAATCCAAAAAACTTGAAACATGTAAAGGTTTTTCTCAGTCTTTCAGATGGAGCTGATATAAATCTCAAGCTGTTAAAATGTTTAGAGGATGAAAAAACATCCAAAAGTGATTTGCAATTGTTACTAGAAGAAGAGAAAAGTCGCAACGTCCAGTTAAAAGCCCAGTTAGCTATGGCTAAAGAAGAGGTCACCAAGCTAGTTTCCGAGGTAATTTTCGATCCATATCTATCAAATTTTTTAATTCTCAAAGAATAAAAAAGTAGTATTCTGCTTTTTCCACATTATCGTTTTTATTTTTGGGAGGAACAGGTATAAATCTAGCGTTCAGGTCACGTGAAAGTTAACTCCACTAACATGTCAACACCAAAAGTGGTTTACTCGGAAATAGTTTATGTTTATAGTCACATTGTATCAGGTTAATTTTTAATGCAGTTTCATAATAATTTGTTTAAATGCTGATGTCTAAGTGCGTTAGTAATTACTAATAATACAAGTCTAAACACAAAGACTCTATTTGGTAAAGACAGTAATACTCGTTCACACTGATTAAAATTAGAATTTACTGTGATGTATAGTCCAGAACCACTAGCTTAGTAACTGAATGACAAGTCTCATTTAAATGTCTGGGGGTAACGAGTTATTCAAGAGGCATGTAGTATAATGATTATCTGCTGTAATGTGATGAAGTTAATACTTTATATAACTTTTAACCATGGAATTATATGCATGATCACTTTATTTTTATCGGTACATTGTTAATATGCCTTATTCATCACTTTTATACATTTACAATCAATTTGGGAACTGACTTACATTATATTCTTCTTTCTATACCAAAATGTTATCTCTTGAAGGCTCTGAAATATCTCGAACCTCAAATATCTTCATCATCAAAAGAATCTGAAGATATTTCAGAAATAATAGAAAATCGACTAGCAAGGTAAGTTATCATTATTTGTATATGAATAAAACACTTTTAAAGTGGAATTCCATACCTTCTGAAACCTTATTCCATAGTCTTGAATAGCTACTGTAGCTCATCACTTTGTGATTTACACTAAGGCGGAATATTAGCGAAACATCTCGAAAAATGAAATAATTTCCAATAATGCGAAATATAGTGTTGCAAAGAATAAAGTGTCCCTTAACTTTGTAATTAAAAAAGAGGCAATTTAAAGAAAGAATGGGCTACTGGAGTTCACTGCAAACAATTACATTTAGGCATAAATCTTCAATTCAGACCATCTTATTCTATCAGATTGAAAACACGTTCAGTATATTATATCTGCGATCTAGTCAACGCTCTACCTAATAAGTAAACTAAGGAGATTCATAATTTAAAATGAAAGATGATTCTGTTGTGGTTGTGTTCTCTGAGCTGGATGGTTGAAGCTTTCATCACCCTGCTGGGTGACATCTTCAGCGCATACTTCAGTTTGAAGTGAGCTTTTAGATTTCTCCACGAGTTAATTAATCATCTCTCCTGGTGACCTTGGACGTGATTGGTTGTTTGTGTGTGTTTTCACACCTTCTAGGTTACTTGTATTGGAACTGATTGTTTCTTTGGCTTGAACTTTGACTCTTTGTGTGTGAAGTTTATTTCTTATCGATTGATAAATTCTGTCTATTTCTATGTATCTATTGATTGATGATTCACAGGAATGCCAAGCTTCTAAAAATTCTCTAGCATTCTTGTTGTTTCCTCTGTCTAATATTTGAACATTGTCCCAGTCGAATTGATGTCCGTGGTTGTCTGTATGTAGTGATATAAGGGAGTGGATATCATGTCTTTTGACGGCTAGCTTGTGTTCGTGGATACAAAGACCAAGGGGATGTCCACTTTGACCAATGTAGTGTTTTTCGCAGTTGTTGCAATTTATTTTGTAACTGCTCATGTGGAGCCAGTTACATAGGCCGCACAATTAGGCGTGTTTCTCGTCGAATTCCCGAACATCACCCTGCGTGGCTAAGCAAAGGTCAAACAAAATCTATTCGTAGCGCTATTCTGGCTCATCTTATGGATACAGAACATAAGATTGATGTTAGCCAGGCTTTTAGAGTTATTAACCGGATACCAACAAATCTCAACTCCGCCTTAAGAGTTCGATTACTAAATATTGCTGAGGCTGTTGGGATCCACATTAAAAAGCCTAATTTGTGCGTCCAAAAGAAGTTAGTTCAGACGCTATCCTTACCTTGGCCATCTAGGTTTGAATGATTCTCAATTTTTGTGGAAATTTCCTAATTTTAGTTGATATTCTATTCGTTATTTATCTTTATTACTATTATAATTCAAGTATTTTTAGTGAACTGTAATTGCATTGATCATACTTTACGAATCGATATTATTTAAGAAACACCAATATTGTTATTAACTACCAATCTTGAATATTTTGCTTATATAAACATATATATATATATATATATATATATATATATATATATATTGTAGAGCCAGAAGAGGAATTTATCGAAAAGAATATTCTTTGCTCGATTATTTTGTGTTTTATAGATGTTGGTTTTATCTTCGTTCGCTGTTGAGTCTTTTGGTTGACATAGAATTGAGTGAAGTGACTTTCATACATTTATTCCCCTTAATGAATTTGAACAATGTAAGAACTACAGTTTTAGTAGAATAAAATGGTACCATCTTTTATTTCGTTGCCTTCTCGTCAGCTGCTTACATGGCAAAGACATTATTAAATATATCTACAACAACAATTTTAACATACTTGCACAGAGTTCAGTTTAAACAAAAATCAATCGATCAATATACGCATACACTAAAAATATATACATATATAAATATGCAATATTAACCACTATTCCGAACAATAATAATCAAACACAATGGAAACTTTTAGCATTTCACATTCGGAAGAAAGAGAGGTGAAATTATCCAGTTACCAGGGCAAAGAAAGGCTGATAACCGCTTCCTTCTGGACGCATAAATCAGGTTTCAGGCGCTTGATGGAAATGGCTTCAGCAAACTTAAGGAGAATTGAGCTATTTTGCTTATTGATAATTTTGAACGACTTTTCAACGTCCACCTCATGACCCGTGTCGAGAAGATGTCTGGTGATGGCACTATTTAAAGCATTTGTTCCCTTTAGACGTAAGCTTTTTGGTACATGTTCAGAAAATCGTAGATATGCCCTTCTTTCTGTCCTTCCAATGTAACTGCTCCCGCAGATACATGTAAATTTGTATACATCTTTACAAAACTCTTTCGAAATCCCTGACAAAGGAGAAATTGTGTGACGTTTTCCCAGAAAATCCTGAGGAGTTTATCTGTAATCTGTCGAGTGTGAAGTTAAATCGCACTGAAATGGAAGCACTTTCTCTTGGATTTAACTTTCACATCCCAAATAAGTTTGTCGAAAGAACTGATGTCGCAGTTCGATTCGAAAACTTATTCTATCAGTTGAGTGACCTCACTCCAGTTGATGATGACAAGAGGAGCTGGTTCAAATCGAAGCTCGTCGACGTTGCAAATCAATACCTCATTTCTCCAATGTCATATTCCAAAGTCTTTTCTGAAGAGCATCTAAGAGCATTGAAAGCTCTCAAGAATAATGACAAAATTGTTATATTGAGACCTGACAAGGGCTCAGGTGTGGTGCTGATGGACAAAGAGGACTACATCGCAGAGATGAAAGCTGTGCTAAATGACCCGTTGAGATTTAAATTTGACAGTTGCCAGAAAGATAAGACAGATGCAGTCGAAAAACGTATCACAAACGCCTTGAGAGATCTTCTAAAGAAGAAATTGATTGACAACAACACGTACAATGATTTGAAACCTCGAGGGTCCCGCTTGCCACACATGTATGGCCTTCCGAAGACACACAAAGAACAAGTCCCCCTGAGACCCATACTTTCGATGATCAACTCGCCCCAACATAAGGTGGCACGTTGGCTTGCGGAGAAGTTGGAGCCTATTCGTCAACGGCTAGGCGTGCACACGGTGAAAGACTCATTTCATTTCTCTGAGATTGTGAATCACATGAACGTTCTAAATAACTTCATGGTGTCATTTGATGTAACCTCCCTATTCACAATGATTCCAGTCAATGAAACCATTGAAATCATCTGTCAGCAGTCCGATCTTCTCCCACTCCCAGAATCTGAATTCAAACGCCTACTGCTTATGTGCACCATGGATGTGCAATTCCTATTTGACAACACGTTTTACCGCCAAATAGATGGTGTAGCTATGGGCAGTCCACTTAGCCCTGTTTTAGCAGATATTTTCATGTCTAACCTTGAAAGAACAAAGCTGAAGCATGCAATCGACGAAACATCTTCCTACTGTCGTTATGTTGATGACACATTTATAGTGTGCAAAAATAAAAGTCATGCTTCACACTTACTAAGATTATTCAATGGTGCACACGCCAATATTGACTTCACTATGGAACACGAAAGTGACGGAAAGTTTCACTTCCTCGACATAGCCATGGAACGCCTAGAAGACGGTAGTCTTCAAAAGTCAATTTATCGAAAGCCCACATGGAAAGGACAATACTTGCATTTTAATAGCTTTTGTCCACATAGCTTTAAACGTGGTCTAGTCAAAACTTTGTACTATAGAGCGAGGAGAATATGCTCTACAGAGAAACTAGAGGAGGAGTTTGAGTTCCTTGAAAATATATTGAAGAGAAATGGGTATCCTCAAAGGTTCATCAACAAGTATGGAAGATCTGAAGTCACAAAAGTAAAACAAATCACAGTGGAAAAAAAGCCAGTCTACCTTCAGCTTGATTATAAAGGTGAAAATATTGCAGCGATGATCAACAGAAGGCTGAGTACATCACTAGCCATAGCGTATCCTGCAGCTAAGCTCGTTCCCGTCTATCGAACAACTTGCTCTTTGGTGCAATCAAAAATCGATAGATATCCTTCTCATGTTACCTCCAACTGTGTATACAAATTTACATGTATCTGCGGGAGCAGTTACATTGGAAGGACAGAAAGAAGGGCATATCTACGATTTTCTGAACATGTACCAAAAAGCTTACGTCTAAAGGGAACAAATGCTTTAAATAGTGCCATCACCAGGCATCTTCTCGACACGGGTCATGAGGTGGACGTTGAAAAGTCGTTCAAAATTATCAATAAGCAAAATAGCTCAATTCTCCTTAAGTTTGCTGAAGCCATTTCCATCAAGCGCCTGAAACCTGATTTATGCGTCCAGAAAGAAGCGGTTATCAGCCTTTCTTTGCCCTGGTAACTGGATAATTTCACCTCTCTTTCCTCCGAATGTGAAATGCTAAAAGTTTCCATTGTGTTTGATTATTATTGTTCGGAATAGTGGTTAATATTGCATATTTATATATGTATATATTTTTAGTGTATGCGTATATTGATCGATTGATTTTTGTTTAAACTGAACTCTGTGCAAGTATGTTAAAATTGTTGTTGTAGATATATTTAATAATGTCTTTGCCATGTAAGCAGCTGACGAGAAGGCAACGAAATAAAAGATGGTACCATTTTATTCTGCTAAAACTGAAGTGACTTTGTTGGTTTGTGTACGACGTCAATTTCTAAAGGTTTGAAGAGTCTTGTAGTGATTTCTGAGACTTCCTTTATATATGATAAGGCAATTTCCTTTGTGATTTCCTTGGAGGCTTTGGTTTGATAGGTTGACTTGGGGGTATATGTCTTTTGATGAAGTTACGTGGATATCCATTCTTTTGGAAGACGTCCATGAGATATTTTTCTTCAATTTTCCTTAAGATGGGAGTGCTGCAATGAGTCCTTGCCCTCTTGAATAGTGTTTGCATGCAATTCCTTTTTTGTGTTATTGGATTGTTGCTGTTTTAATTCAGGAATCGGTCTGTGTGAGTTGATTTTCTATAAACTTGAGTTTCTAATTCCCATGTGGTTGTTCGCTTGACTAAGACGTCCAAAAATGGGATTTGATTCTCAGATTCTTCTTCTCTTGTGAATTTGATGTCGTTGAAGACGTTGTTCATTAAGTTGTGAGTTTTATCTAACTCGTTTCTTTTGATCATCACAAATGTGTCATCGACGTAGCGTATCCAAATCTTGGGATTGATCTTTGGTAGAATTATGTTTTCGAGTCTTTGCATCACTGCTTCTGCAATCAAACGTGATATTGGTGATCCCATGGGTGTTCCTTTGACTTGTTCATATATTTGGCCGTTGAATTGAAAGTATGTTGTTAGGCATAGGTTTATGCGTTCCATCCAGCTTGTGTGTTGCATTTTTGATTGTTGTGGAAGGTGTTCGTCGTTGCTAAGTAATTGCTCCATGGTTTCTTTTGCTAGTTTTTGTCCGAAAGATTATTCATTCGACAGCATAGTCAAATATGGAATCCTGATGTGTAAACACATTCTTAGACAGGTGTTATCAGTTTAAAGAAGTTAGCTAGTTTAATCTACCAAATATCACTTAAAGAGAGTTTGGTGAACTATCTGTATCAAAGCGATCAATCGAATTTACTTCTGACATTAATTCACAGGAATTTGAACATATTCGAATGCGAATAATAGTTTAAGTAATCCAAGGTGAAAAAGGTCGGTCATTTTGATATATTCAGTTAGGAATCTGTTAATAAGACGGATTACAATTGGCTGGAGGAAGGAGTCCGTCAGTCAATGAGTCTTAAGTGGAATCGACTGACCACAATATGTAGTATGTCCTGCTGCTATTGAAATCAGCTGATGCGAAACAGTATGTTGAGATACCTAATGTAAAGATTACTAAATTGTAAATAAAAAGTTTAATGTTTACTTAACTCTTCCAATTTTCAGGTACTTTCAGACATTTTTAATCCTATACTAAAAGTTCAAGCATACAGGTGCATTTAAAACTCTTCATTGAGACAATTTTCTCTTATATGGTGATTTATTCACATTTGATGTTTTCGGAAGGTAATACAAAATAAGTGAAAAGTTCCCGAATATACTGCAAACAAATACCTGGATTTACATAATTCTCTTATGTTTCCTGTTTTTCTTCTCGCTCATACCTTCAAACTGGTACCGTACGGAAATTTCTTGACACATGTTACCTGAAGCTTCTACTGAGGAAAACAAGAGTATTAAATTATTGTTATTTTATCCTTTAATTCCTAGAGGAACATAGGGCTTCAGCTACACATCTCCACTGCCTTCTGTTTTCTGCCACCTTTTTCACTCCGTTCCAAGTCTGCCCATATGCTTTCATCTCCTCTTCACATGACCTCCTCCAAGTCACCCCACCCTGTCACTGACGATCAACTCGCCGCTTCCCTTTCGGGTTCCACTCGAGCTATGGCTTGTCTAGTGATGTCACTTGATGGTTTCCTCAGAGTTTGGCCAATCCATCTCCATTTCTTCCTGCCTATTTGTTGCACAATCGGTTCCTGGTTGGTTCGCTCCCAGAGATCCCTGTTGCTGATCTTTTCTGGCTGGCTATCTGATCTTGAGTAGTATTGAGCGAAGACAACTGTTAATGAAGGTCTGTAGTTTGTTTGAGATGCTCTTTATGACTCGCCAAGTCTCTGATCCGTATAGTAGCACTGACTGACTTCACATTGGAGTTGAAAATCCGGATAATATTTTTGATGCTAAGTACTGTTGACTTCCACACAGACTTAAGAGTAATGAAAGCTTGTCTTGCGTTTCCGATTCTGGCTTTGATATCCTCGTTAGTTCCACCCACCTGTAGTTGAAACGATGCTTCCTAGTTCGGTGGGTAGGTAAAGGAGGTTGTTTCTTTCAGGTTCCTCCCATCTATACTGGCTGACTGTCGTCTGTTGTTGTTGCTGTTGGTGTTGGTCAAGAATCTTCATCACCTATGTTTTATCTATGTTCACCTGAAGTCCTATCTTTGATGCTTCTTCTGCCAGCTTGTTGCTTTTCATTTGCATATCTTCCAGTTTGTTGGAAATCAGACATATACATCACATCGGCGAAATCCAGACCCTCCAAGTTTTTTTGTGTGAGTCCATTCTATGCCTGTTTCCTCATTGCCCGTTGTCTGTAGCATTATCCAATCTACTGCAATCAGGAAAGTCCTTGGCGACAGTAGCCAGCCTTGCCTCACTCCCGTCCTCACTTCGAAGGTTTCCGTAAGTTTCCCGTTGTGGATTACTTGACATGCAGCATTGTCGTAAAACTGTTGGATGAGATGCATAATTGTCGATGGGACCCCGTAGTAGCGAAGTAGTTTCCAAATGACCTCTCGATCGACGCTGTCGAATGCCTTTTCAAAGTCGATGAAGTTGAGATAGAGGGATGACTGCCATTCCAAGCATTGTTCAATGATGATCCGTTAGGTGGCGATTTGATCAATATATGACTTGTTTCTCCTGAATCCAGCTTGTTCCGGTCGGAGTTTTTCATCCAGGGCTTGTTTGATTCTCTCCAGGATAATACGGCTTAGTATTTTGCCTGGGATGGATAAGAGCAGAATTCCGCGCCAGTTTTTGCATTGACTTAAGTCTCCTTTCTTTGGTAGTATGAGTAAGTATCCTTTCTTCCAATCCTCGGGTACTTTGCCCTCTTTCCACACCTTCTCCAGTAGTGGTGTCATCAAGTCCGTTGTTGTCTCTGGGTCCATTTTCAATGCTTCTGCTGGGATTCCATCTGACCCTGCTGCTTTTCCAGCTCTTAGCGTCTTGATTGCCTGCAGGACTTCTGATTTCGTCAGGGGGTCGATGTTCACTGGTAGTTCTGCTTCCGTTGTTGGTATTGTTGGGCGCGTTGTAGGTGGCGGTTGATTTAGAAGTCTTTTGAAGTGTTCAGCCCAGTGTTTTCTTTGTTCCCCCTCTTTGCTGATTGACTTTTCATTGGTATCCTTCACTGGCTTAATTTGTGTCGAACTTTTGCCCGATAGGTGTCTAGTTGTTTGGTAGAGTGTGGTGGGGTCTCCTTTGCCTGCAACTTGTTCTGCTTCACTTCCCATGGCTTCATAATATTTTCTTTTGTCTTCCCTGGCACTCTTCTCCACTCTTTTGTTCAGCATCCAACTTCTGTTTTTGTTGCTCGTCGGTGGACTGGATATTCTTTTGTTTCACTATCCTTCTCTCTTGTATTAGTTTCCAAGTGTCCGTAGTGAGCCACTGTTTGTCCTGTCTCTTCTTTCTGCCTAGAACTCCCATGCAGGTTTGACTCCACACCGTTTTCAAGTTGTCCCAGTGCTTTTCGACGCCTACCTCTTCGCTAGCGTTGATTTGTGTCTCGACTTTGTCCTTGATGCTTGCAGTGAAGATGTCCTTTGTAGTCTAGTCCTTCAGTTTGCGTTGAATTTGGCTTGTGGTCTATCTGCAGCTCCTGTTTCCCTGAAAGCTTTTAATTTGATTTGGATTGTCCCTTGTACGAGATAGTGGTCTGAGCCAACGTCTGCTCCTCTTCTTACTTTTGTGTCCATTAGGCTGCGCCTCCACTTCCTTGAGCAACATTGAGATGAAGTCAATTTGGTTTCTGGTTCGCCCATCTGGTGACACCCATGTAGCCTTGTGGATATCTTTGTGTTTGTATACGCTGCCACCAATGACTAGTTCGTTGAAGGCGCAGAAGTCGGTGAAGAGTTCTCCATTTTCATCCACTTCTCCGAGAGCTTCTCTCCCCATGATGAGTTCTCTTCCTGTGCTGTCTGATCCTAGTTTGGCGTTCATGTCTCCCATTAGTATTTTAATGTCACCAGCTGGAGTATTGTTCATTGCTGCCTGTAGTTGTCTGTAGAATTCTTTTTTCTTTTCGAGGTCTGCGTTGTTTGTGGGTGCATAACATTGTATGATTGACACTTTCCTTCCTTTGGAGTTGAATCTGGCGGTCATTATCCTGGACGAGATTGCCTCCCATTGCATCAGGGCCTTCGTTGTTGTTGGCGACATCATGATAGCCACGCCTTCGGTGTGCGTGTGGTTATCTTCTGGGTGACTGAAGTAGATCACTGACTCACCCGTGGACGATTTGGTGAGTCCATTCCCGTTCCATCTGCTTTCGCATATCCCCAGCACTTGGATTCCGTATCTTTTCATCTCGTTTGCGATCTGGGGGCTTTTCCCAGTCTCATACACAGTGCGGACGTTCCATGTCCCCACAGAGATTTTTTTCTTTAGGCGCAAAGAGATTCATAGTGCTGAAGTTTCTGTAGCAACTTTGTTTACAGGGTGCGGTTGCTAGCCTTACGCCTGAGAAAGGAATTGTTACATTAAGATAAAGTTTAGAGAGAAGTGACCTTGTGGGTTGCTCCCCTTAAAATCGGAAAGGAAGGGATAAAACAATCAGCAAGAGGAAAATAATTCACATCAAAAAGGGCAAAAAGCGACAACAGCAATACAATAAAACAACATGCAATACAGTTAAGCACAGTTAACTAAAATGATACCAAAGCCATAGACTCACTGACTTGGGCCAACTTGAACATATAAATCCAACAATATATACAATTACAGATATGAGTTAGTGTTAAAAGGTCACAAGATGTCATAGGTAGTAGTAGATGTTATAGGTATTAGTAGTCAATAATATTATATCCACAGGTTGAGTGTTCGAAAGTAAACGGCTTGCAATAATTTCCAGAACTTCGTGGTGGCAAACGTCAGAGAAATGAGAGTTTTATGTATCTAAGCAAAATGTAGCGCAAGTATTAAATGAGAAAATTTTATTTTGGCAATCATTTATTTATTTCTTATCCATAATTCATGTGCATTTTAACCAGAAGCAAAGTAGATAAGCTGTTCGTGAAATACTTGAAAATACAGTACTATTTGCTAATTGTGCGTCGGTGGCACAGTGGTATATATATATATATATATAATGCATAATCTCCTCTGATACCGGTCAATGTTTCCGAATTTTTCAAATTAGATTTCGACACACTATTGGGAACACATCAGCGAATGTGAAGAACGTGCGGCCGTCACTTTGCTGGCATGCGGTTAGAAACCTTATGAACAACATTACACGTTTACTTCTTATTACCTCCATGAATGATCTCACAATTAAATTTTTTATCTTTTTATGCTCGATCGTTTTATTTTGTTTCACTATTCTACGCTTGACTGTAGACGAATCGAATTTATGTTGTGATGGTCCAGTGCAAAAAGGTTCAGTTCTGGATTTTTATTTGTACCTCAAATATTTATTACGAAAAGCAAGTAAAAATTCTCTGTTCCCTGGAAAATTGTTTTCAAAACTTAGTCATCCTTTTGGTGTACCTGCTACTTAATGATTTATTTTTTTCTGCTTAACTATAAAGCACTATTGTTTACCATTTCCAATGAGTGGAATAAATTAGACCAATCGTGTTTTTTTTGAAAACTTCTAGATAAAATGCGTTATTGGTTTGTTATAAAAAATTATGGGAAATCACAGTTCTCTTAATATGTTCAGAAACACAGAAAAATCATACGACTGCTGGTGTAAGCCGTATTCAAGTTCTGGTTCACTGATAATCCTATGTATATGAGTAGCCTCGTTACATGGCTTATATCGTCAATCAAATACTATTTGCTCATGTTGCTTGTTGTGGTTTATTGCAAAGTTTAAGCAGCTCAAAAATCCCCATTGAGTCATATGACAAAGATAAGACGTTCAGCGAAGAAACTCTTTTCGGCGAATTCATTCACATTGCTGTACAATCGCATTTATATAAAATTATTTGTCTGTGTTGAGTCGCGTCATCCTGGAGACAATAAAGTACACACTGGATACAGAAATCCGAATAGAACCAGCTGGATTCAGGAAAGGCAAATCATGTTCTGACCAAATTGCAACTCTACGCATCATCACAGAACAAGGCATGAATGGCAATCAAACCTCTAACTCAACTTTATAGACTTCGATAAGGCCTTTGACAGCGTTGACCGTGAAGTAATCTGGAAACTACTTGAGTACTACAGCGTGTAGCGCCCAAATGTTCATCAACCTTATTCAACAGCACATGTTAAGTGATCCACAACGGAAAACTCAGCGAGGCATTTGGAGTAAACACAGGAGTCAGACAAGGGTGCTTATTATCTATTACCAATGATATTCTGGATTATGCGCCAGACAGTGGGAAACGAGAAGACAGGGATATCCTGTACCGATGGAAGAACCTAGAAGACCTGGATTTCGCGCGTGGATGATTTATGTTTGATGTCACACAAAATCGAAGATTTACAAGCGAAGACTGACAATGTGGTCGAAGAAGCAGCAAAGACAGGACTCCAAGTAAACATAGACAAGACGGAGGATATGAATCTTCTAAAGAAGAATTTGACTGACAACAACACGTACAATGAATTGAAACCCCGAGAGTCCCGCTTGCCATAAATGTATGGCCCTCCAAAGACACACAAGAAAGAAGTTCCTCTGAAACCTATACTTTCGATGATCAACTCTCCCCAACATAAGGTTGCCCTTTGGCTGGCGGAGAAGTTGGAACCCATTCGCCAAAGGCTAGCCGCGCATACCATAAAAGACTCATTTCATTCTGCCGAAAGTGTGAATCACATGAACGTTTCAAATAAGTTCATGGCTTCATTTGATGCAACTTCCTTGTTCACAATGATCCCGATCAATGAAACCATTGAGATCATTTGTCAACACTCTGATCTTCTCCCACTACCTGAGCCGGAATTCAAACGCCTACTGCTAATGTGTACCATGGGTGTACAATTCCAGTTTGACAACACTCTTTACCGACAAATAGATGGTGAAGCTATGGGCAGTCCATTTAGCCCTGTTTTAGCAGATATCTTTATGTCAAACCTTGAAAGAACAAAGTTGAAGCATGCAGTCGACGAAACATTTTCCTACTGTCGATATGTCGATGATACATTTGTAGTATGCAACAACGAAAGTCATGCCTCCTACCTACTCAGACTATTCAACAATTCACTTACAAATATTGTATTTACTATGGAACATGAAAATGATGGACAGTTCCATTTCCTTGACGTCGCCGTACAACGCATAGAAGATGGTAGTCTCCAGAGGTCAATCTACCGAAAGCCCATATAGAATGGACAATACTTACATTTTAATAGTTTTTGTCCACATATCTTTAAACGTGGTCTAGTCAAAACTTTGTACTATAGAGCGAGGAGAATATGCTCTGCAAAGAAACTAGAGGAAGAATTTACGAATCTCGAAAAGGTGCTGAAATGCAACGGCTATCCTCAAAGATTCATTAACAAATATGAAAGATGTGAAGGCTCAAATACCAAACAAATCACAGTTGAAAAAAGCCTGTCTTCATTCAACTAGGTTTTAAAGGTGAAGACATTGCAGAAACGGTCAAAGAAGACTGAAGACGTCACTAGCCAGAGCCTATCCTGCAGCAAAGTTGGTTCCCGTCCATCGAACGACATGCTCTTTGGTGCAATCAAAAGTCGATAGATACCCTTCTCATGTTGACTCCAACTGTGTATACAAATTTACGTGTATCTGCGGGAGCAGTTACATTGGGAGAATAGAAAGAAGGGCACACCTCCGATTTTCTGAACATGTGCCGAAAAGCCTACGTCTCAAGGGAACAAACTCTATTGCCAGACATCTCGACACGTGTCATGAGGTGGAAGTCGAGAAATCCTTTAAAATTATCAATAGACAAAGGAGCTCCATTCTCCTTAAGTTTGCCGAAGCAATTTCTATCAGAAGCTTGAAGCCAGATTTATGAGTTCAGAAAGAATCAGTTATTAGTCTTTCTTTGCCTTGATAACTGGATGTCTTTTTTCTCTCATCTGATTACGCAATCTTTGTCTTTAACCTCACCCTACTTTTATAATCTGTAATTTTGCTTTTCTCTTGGTTCTATGATTTGAGTTCAACTCAGTACATTGTTACCTAACTTATTAGTCACTATGCATCTAACGCACATCTCGTCTTTATTTAACCTCACCCCCTCCTTTTATAATCTGTAATTTTGCTTTTCTCTTGGTTCTATGATTTGAGTTCAACTCAGTACATTGTTACCTAACTTATTAGTCACTATGCATCTAACGCACATCTCATCTTTATTATCTAACTCCCTTACCATTATATGCCTACATTTATTTTGTTTTAACTTGAACTGCCCATGTAAAAGCTATATAAGCGCAATTTTCTGAGCACTGTTCACTAATTGCGGAACTTTCTGTCAACTGACAACATGTAAAATTTGCAAGTATGTTAAAACGTTTCTGTACTTAAACCTCAAAATTTATTTAGGCTGTAAGCAGCTGATGAGAAGCCAACGAAATAAATGATGGTACCATGTTATTCTGCACAAACCACTGTTGTTCTTGCTTTATTCAAATTCATCAAGGGGAATAAATGCATGAAGATATGAAAATAACCAACCAACAACAGCAACATCCAGCTCCAATCACCATCAACGGGAGGGATTTGAAAGAGGTTACTTCATTCACTTATCTAGGGAGCATTGTCTAGACTACAGGCCGTCGGAACGGACGAGGATGTTAAATCGAGAATCGGGAAGGCGAGAAACACACTCATCAACCTGAAACCAATCTGGAAATCTCCGTCACTCAGCATCAACAGCAAAATTCAATGGGATTTTCAATACAAACGTCAAGTCAGTTCTATACGGATGAGAAACTTGGCGGTTGGGTCACGAAGAATATTTCCAACAGTTTGGATAGCGAAAGCCGGGTACGGCCGAAATACCTGGCTCCACACAAACAGGTGAATTAGTAGATGCACATTGATGATGCAGTGGTAGCTTATCCTTCACGTTCACACGAATTATAAGTTTCATGGAGAAGGTTAGTCGTAGTTCATCTGCGAAGGTTTTCTTAGGTGAACGAGACAGTGGATTTAGTCTCTACCTGTGATTACCTCCGTTGCTATCTTGACCTAAGTTGAAACATTTTAGTCGATTATATTATGTCATCTAACTTACTAACTCAATCTTACTTTAGTTGCTCTCTAATTAACCTTGTTATGGTTTTGTGCTAAGGTCATACTTTTTAAGCAACTTTTTCAGTACTGTATCAAAACGGGCATCCAGTAGCGGTTTGTGTCCCGACTTTTCCCTTCAACGAGTTATTATTTTCTAATAGAACTTAGTGGTTTGGACATTTAGCAGGATACAGTTTTACATAACATTTCACCGACACAGTTTTTTGTAGATTTACCTATGGAAGAGAACTAAAAAGCATTCATTGTCTTAATAAGATAAATATTATATTCACATTCTTACATTGAGTTCTGAGGGGAACATAGCTCCTCAGCTTCACACTTCCATTGCATGTAGTTGCCTGGCAACTTTCAGCTGGCTCCACAACTGATCACAACCTTTCTCTTCCTCTTAATGTGATCTTTACTTGACACTTCTAGGACGCTCATCCCATCGATTCCTGTTCGGATTACACTCCAGGATCTGGAGTATGTTATTACTAATCAGTCTTCTTAGTGCATATCCAACTCACGTCTATTTTCTTATGCATATTTGTTGGGTAGTAGCTTCTCAGCTGAGTTCGCTTATTCTTTCCGGCAGACCGACTGATGTACAGTGTCGACCGAAGATATTGATGAAAGTTTGCAACAGACTGCTGGGAATGCTTTCGGTGACAATTTCTGAGGTACACCGAAGCAGTGACTTGACATAAGCATTGAAAAGTTGGACTTGTGCTAAGTGCTCCATACTGATTTCAGAGTAACGATTGCCTGGATTGTCTTCCCTATCCTAACTTGGCTTGGACATCCGTGTCTATATCACCTTTAGTTAAAAGGATCGATAATGCTGAGGAAAGGAGTAGGTAAGTGAAAGAGACGATCCCTTTTACATTCCTCTGTTGATGGTGAATGTTGTCGATCGATTGAAATCAATAAAGGCATTGAATCCTGTTGTTTGATTTTGGTTCTAACACGTAGAATCAGTGTTGACGTCATTTTTATTATTACATTACAGTAAGTAGTAACTCTTGCAATTGTTGACTGTCATATTCTGTATCTAAAGAAGATACAAGAATTACCTTCTCTCATTTCTATTCTCATGAATGCTTTGTTATTACTTATGCTCCAAATGATAGAAAAAGCTCATTCAGCATGCATCTTACAAGATACAATTTCTTCATTCAATCAGTGAAATCCTACTTTATATTATGAAATTCAGTCCTCGATAATTTATATAACGTTGTCTGCTTCACACTAAAAAGCTGATTATTAATGGACTCTAGATGTTGATATTTCTGCATATTAGTTTGTTTATTCGGTATATCACAGAATGAAACAGTATTA